TTTTTTTTAATCCAGGACCCACTCGTCCTCTCTTCCCTCAAAAAAAAAGAGCGCGCTCAAAGAGCACCGACTGGCATCGAGAATCTTTTTGATCTCCGTCATTCTTTTCTGTCTTTATCCTCTATCAATTCGTGAGTGAGAGTAAAAGAGTGTGGCTGTGCAAGAAATTGAGATGTATCGGATTTCTCCCATTTGTCATGTCTACACCCATTGTCTTGAAACATTTTCATAAATAATCATCATCGACAATTTGTCCCCGTATCGATAGAGATTTTTTGAATCTTTTAGAAAAGTTTGACAATCATGGAGATATTTTTTGGTAAAATGAAAAAAGAAACAAGGACCGCGAAAAAGTAAGATTTTTTAGGTTGGTGTAGAAAACTGAGAATTTTTAAAACCTAACAAATTTTTGAAAATAGAAAACTCGATTCAATGAAAAATGGTAGCTAAAATATGAGAGGGTAAAGGAAACCGATGTCTTATGAAATTAAAATATGAGACCATGGAAGAGAGAATAATGGAAAGCACCAAGTCTACGGGAAATGAAATGAGTAAGAAATATGAAAATTGGTGAGGAAGAGGAAAAGAAATAATAGAATAAATTGAAATTGATGAGTTTCGTATTTCGTCAGAAATTCAAATGGAAATGAAGGAAAGAATGATATGTTTTGAGAAATAATTAACGAGATAGGTTGAAGTTATAGTTTCATTTTTCTGAAAATTGACACCTTTAATAAAAGGGCCCCTCTAATATATGCGCCCTGAAGGGCTCCCTGTAATAGAAGCAGTTTAATTGATAGATTTTCATGAACTTTGATCGAGAATTCGCCAAATGTTTCAATGAAAATTTTCGAGAAAAATGACTGGAAAAATAGAAGGGCCCTCTAATTGAAGGGCATAGAAGGGCCCGCCATGGACCGGTTCGCGCCTGAAGAAATTTTCAAAGCCCGGTATCGAAAAACCTGCATTTTTTAGCCAGATTCTGAGATCTTAAATCAATTTTCTCTAAAATTTCCTTGTTTGTTCGGTTTGTTTGTCTGTTATAATTTTTCTACGATTTCAACATTTTTGATCAAAACAAAAAACACCGGATTTCACAAAACGCATTTTTGTGAAAATAGGCCGGGCCGGGCCAAGTAAATAGTCGCATTTTTTTAAAAATTCAGAAAAGTTGAAAAAAGTTAATTAGGAAAACTTTTTAAAAGATGACTTCTATGATCATACTATCAATTCAATTATGTTTCAAACAGCAAACAAACTGATATATTCAGAAACAGATTTCAAATTTCCAACAACAAGATTTTGGAGCCGACTCAATAACAAGTCCAAAATAGTTAGTCGTTGGCCTCCAATGAAAAAAGTTGAGTGGCTCCAAATGCAATACCCTAGCTTTACTACGCCACATGTGGGTTTTTTTGAGAAGAACCAAAAAAAGAAAAATGTTCTTCCCAAGATGCGGAGGGGTGAGCTCTTTCAATTGAATTCCTTCTATTTTTGAATTTTCAGGAAAACATCGGAAAAGAACAGGTAGAAAAAGGTTAGCATAAAAGTGATGGACCTAAATAAATATCCTTCCACATCACTAATCGGAAGCAAGATGTAATATTTATTGGACTATAATCGATTTCCAGAAAAAATGATCAAAAACAGATATCACATCTGATCGGCGCTGTTATCGTCTGATTTTTGACGCTCTGGTGTAGCAATTGGTACTTCTCTCTATCTCTTTCATTCCTCGGTCGTTGGGTAGAGTCGGAGATAGGGCACGAGTTCATTGAGCAATGATAATTGATGATAGAGAGGAGAAGGAGGATGATAATAGAACAAATGCTGGTGTTTTAGGCAGAATATACTGTAAACCAAAAATTCTATCATGAAAAAAAGAGAAACGAGAAAATAACTATTGACCAGGATCTGCAAAATTGAGTTCGGGATAAATCACAATAACATGAAAAGGATGGAGAACATCAATCAGTATCAAAAGTACTAATCAAGGATCACAGCTCATCTCCGCACCCGATGCCTGGAAACAACCCGACCGCTATCATAACGGATGCCAGGACCACCACAAACGGAACTTCACACGCCATTGAATCTCACTGTTTCCGGACATCTCATCTGAAAGGCGTAGCTTGTTTGAAGTCGGATGAACCTCAAAAAAATCGTTCTTTTAATTTTGTCTAACACGCTCGAAAAATCTGTCCAGGATTGGTATATGTATTAGGCTTATTCGGGACGGCGCATGGTGTATCGATCTTTTGCTTTTCGAAGAATTCGTACCGGCCATGCTTTTAAAACCGGCCATGCTTTACGTTGCTCTAATTTTCTTTGTTTCTAACTTTTTTCTGATTTGGAGACACTTTTGTTTTAAGTCCATGTCCAGCAAATATTCTTTCTAGTTTATGGTCTCTAAAATAGGATTTCAAAAAACCACCTTTATATTTTTACGTAATATTTTCGTTTAAAAATTTCAGAGATATATGATGTGTGACTAAGCCTGCCCCATTAAAAATTGTCAACAAGTTATTGAAAAAAAGCTTTTGTGCTTAATGAAGCTCATTTCACAGAGAAGGTGCCTATTTTTTCTTGTGGAAAGTTCTAGTATAAATATGTGCGGTGTTCGCAAAACCAAACATCTATTCACAGTAATTCTTTTTTGATCTGACATACCTTGAAAACATTCTCGAAACAGCTTAACGCATGATAAACTGAATTGCATCCTTTCGAAAAAAAACCGGAAGCTTTGTTTCCTGTGATGTTGATTTCCAGTAAACACTTTGATATACGTAATAGACTTCTATCCATTTTTTCTTTCAGATAAAGTCCGACATATTTCCTTTAAGATCCACTTTTCCAAAAACGTAGTAAGTGATTATCCGATCACAAAATTGCCTTGCTTGGATTTTTCAAGTTCTTCGAACTTCTGACCTTTTGTGTGACTTCGATACCAGTTTTTATCAAAATCTTTCACATATATTTTTCAAACTATGTCTTCTGTCTTCATCCATGAAAGTGGGGCCCTGTTTCGCCTGAAGTTCTATAAGTTTACTTAGCAATCGAATAATTCACTGAAGCTATTAAAATCAGTGGACCATTTTCATCAGTATTAAGATCCGATTGTTCCGGTCATTTGATGTTACAATATTGTAAATCTGAACTGTGATGTGATATGTGTCACTGACGTCTCTCTTGCACTTTAAGACAATAAAGATATGTCCCATTGTTTCCCAGAACCTTATCTCTAGGATCTTAGAGCACAGTAACACCTATGAATAAGGATAATCTTATAATGATTATTGAGACGGATTTAGGCGCTAAGTACAAAGAATAGACAATAGAGGAAGATGGAGAACAATACGAGTAGCTGAATGGATTAGGTGAATCTCATTGAAAAATTATCTTTAAATATCTGAAAAAGTATATTATTTGGCACATATGCATTTCTGATAACCACGGTTACGGTACCTCAAAATTTTAAGTAGTATTCTAGCTCACATCACTTTAGTTTCTCATATACTTGGAATTCCAAATGGATACAATTTTTTGAACTTTGAATTATTCAATGCACTCCGAGTGATTTTAACTTTTTTGAGATCACAAATCTCACAAAATTTGCTATCTTCTTGACTTTTGGTGTCGCTAAACCAATATTCTAGACAAAAAATTCTGTCCTGACCTTATTAAAAGTATGAATCTTAATAAAATTCTCAGAATCTGCTCATCTTTTTCGTCAAACATAAGTCCCTCCTTTTCTTCTAAAAAAATCTCATTTTGAAATTTCATTTCGTTTTTCTTTCTACGCATTCAATAAGGAACTCAAGTGAAGAAACTCTTTCACAGATTTTCCAAGTTTCTCTTTAAATAATTTTTGACGAATACTTTTTTTTTTGGAAAAGCGGAAAAAATCGACCGGAATGGCCAATCTTTAAATGGCTATTGAGTCCTTTGTTCCTGCTTACTGGCCTTGAAGAATGTCCCATTCCTGCTTAACCCAAAGGCCTACTATTAGAATTGGGAATTTTCTTGATCCTCGAAACCAATTCACATATATGTTTTTTTCTAGCCCTTTCAGGATTGCATTTTTTCTAGAAGGTTTTGTATAATTAAAATTAAAAATTGGTCTGAATGAATCCTTCCACCCCCGTCTTCTTTTGTTGAATGTTCGAGACTTCCGCTTGCTACACGCACGTTTTGTCGAAAAATAATTAGTTTCCTATTCCATCGTCTCTAACATTTTCATCATTTGAACCACTCGATTTCAACTCTTCAGTTTTATTTATGCACAATTTCATCCATATTGAACAATTATGCAAAAAAATTGGTTTCCATTCGTTCACCATATAAATTCAAATTTTTTTTGCTTCTGAATCAAAAATAGACAAAGAACGATAAAAACTTCTTTTTTTTTTGCAATTTGCTAAAAACATAACGTAAGACCTGTTTTAGGAGGACCCCTTTCAAAGAAAGGCCCCTCAAATAGAAGGGCCCCTTGTGTAAGGAAGGTCCCCCTTCAGAATGTGTCTTGAAATTAGAACAATTCCGAAAATTGTCATTGAAAAATATTCCGGGAATTCCATACTTCAATAGAAGTTTGTTGGAATACTATTTTTCAGCTTAAAAACAGATTTTCATGAATTTTAAACGAAAATTCGCCGAATTTTTGATGAAAAATTTCTTTAAAAATTGCTGGAAAAATACAAGGATTCTAATTGGAGAGCCCCTATAATAGAAGGGCCCTCCGGAGGTACCTTGGAAAAATAGAATGATCGGCCCTTCTAATATAGGTTTTACGGTATTTCCTTTTTAACGATTCTTTTCTCACAATCTGAATATCGTTGAGCTGATTTGAAATGATGAGTAATAAAATGAACTATCACAAAGTTTTTCGGTTTTTAGTCTTGCTCATTTTTCGGTCTACTTCATTTCTTCTAACTATTGAACTTTGATTATCCTCTCATGGAGCGTAACATAATTTTTTTTTAATTCAGAATCAGAACAAAATGAACTCTACTAATGAAACTGATCTTCTTGTCCAACCAGCGGTTTCAAGCCAATCACAAAGGATTGTAGTAACAATGGTCATTTTTTTGGTGAGCATTAAAAAATCGGAAAGTGTGAAAACCTAAATCTAGCTCGCAGCTGAAAACATGAAAACCTTTTTGAATATCAAAAAGTAATTTTATGATTTCAGATCTCATTAACTGGACTGATTGGCAATTTATCTGTCTTCATGTTTGCCACCACTTTGAAAACTTTACAAAACTCTTTTGGTCGTTTGTCAGCTTCTCAATCCTTTGCTGAAGTCATTTTGTGTGCAGTGTTCATGTGCTTTTACTGTCCCATGGTCTTGTTGTAAGTTTCAGATAATACCCAGAAATATTGAATTGTTTTATGATTTAAAGGGATATTCCTTCGTTCAAGCTCGCTTCTGCCCATGCCGGCCTAATCCTTCTTTTCTGTTACGACGTCTGCATTTTTTCCCACTTGTTTATTGCTGTCAACCGTCTGTGTGCTATTTCGTTCCCAATTGAGTATAGCAACATTTTTAAGTGAGTTCGGAAAAAAGTAATTTAATTGATGTTATATACGAATTTTTAGCGAGAGAAACACGAGGGTTCTAATTGGTCTCGCCTACGCCATCCCATGCTTCACATCCATCTACATGCACCTAGCCAGTCAGTTCAATTTTTGTGTCTGAACTCTTGCACATAAAGATGTTCAGGGGATCTTTGAACACCCGTTATTTTTTCTCTTTTCAGACAATTGCCTTCTCCCATACGTGGATTTCGGATGGTACTTTGGTGTCAACACATCAGCGGATTGTGACGTCATCCGATTTTATATTGACTTTTGCAAAGATTTCGGGGTCGTTGCATTGATTGCTATCGTTGATGTTATGACTATTATAATGATCAAAGTTACGGCTCCTGGAATGGTTAGTGAAAAATTTTTAGAAATCGAGAACTACTGAACTATGATGGATTATTTTGTTAATCATGAACTGATCGATTCTTCTCGGATCACTGCATATGTTTGAAAGTTTAGGTTGATTCATAAGTACCAAAGTAGTCCAAACTTGTAGAGAATATAACAAGAACATGGCTTTGCAGCGTCTCATGTCTGCCAATTGTGTTCAAAGTCAGAAGAAGCGTGAACGAGAAATCACCTTTGTTAAGCAATGCATCATTCAAGGAGCCGTATTCGCCACAGAGCTTGTGTTCTTTTTCATAATCTCAGGCATGCAAACCCAGCCTGTAATGATTTTCTTGTGTACAACTGTTTCTTGGAGCCTTGTACACACCATCGACCCGTTGATCTTGATTTTGTTAAACCGAGAATTCCGAAATATGTTGATGAAGAATCCGATTGGGCGAGCGAGGAGTGAGTTTGTAATATTTCTCGTATCGAATGGAAATTCAAACGTTTTCAGCCACCCGAGTTACTTACTCCACTCAACCAATCGATCAAGTCAGCAGTACTCACACATGACTGATTTCTGAAATTAATATAATCGGTCTACAAATAAAATTTTTTATTCATATTTTTTGCTATATTTGGTAAACATGATTGTGTCAATGGTGATGAAATTGATTCTTAAACTTTCTAGATAAGAGTTTTCGATGCACAACTCTTCTCTAGGTGAAAAAGAGAAATGTGTTGGACACGGGAGTTAAAATAAAATAGTGAATTAATCTACTGGGCTGACACTGGAGCGTGTTGAGCGTCAACTTGAGCATTTTCCGCGGCAAGTGCTGCTTCGGCAGTAGCGAGTTCCTGGCGAAGTTGTTCAACATACTGCAAAAATATATTACTTGAATAGATAGTTCTGAATACTAAGAATTCAAAAGTAACATACGTCAGCGGCGTGGACTGCATCTCTTTGCTTTCTGCATTCCAACTTGCAAGTTTCATAGGCGCTGGCAACCTATAATAATCATTTTATGTTTTAAAATTGGATCTTTGCAAGTTATACCTTCAATGACTTTGGTGGAGACACTCTGTGTTTCTGAACGGCCTGTGGTTGAACAATTGCTTCTTCAGCTTCCTCTTCTTCGACTTCCTGGTGAGCAACTTCTGGAGCAGTTTCGTTGACGGCTTCTGGCTCATCAACAACGACAACTTTTTCAGCCTTAACCTTCTTCACCTTTTCAGCCTTCTCGACCTTTTCTGCCCTGAAAAATTGTTAATTTCAACGGTATCGTTAGTGGATAAAACTTACTTGGCTCCCTTCTTCTCTCCCTTGACTGGCTTTTTACAGTCAATCGATGACACTAAAAGAAGCGCACAGACGGCAAGAACCACTAATGTTTTTCTGTTCAGCATGATCTATCTAAAAAATTAACAATAAGACGAAAACTTAAAAAATAGTTGGAGAAAGCTAAAAAGTGTAAAACTTGAAAAACTGATAGGGAATTGCAACTTGAAGAATTGATATGGAATCGATTCGGTTTATAAACAAAGTGTGCTTCGAATGATAGGCACACCGTTTTTGTGCACTTTCAGTTTGTACGTCATATAAGATATCATTGACGTAAACTGATTGGAGACAGAGAAAGTAAGGCGACGTTGCTCAATTGATCAAATTGATAGGAATCACGAGCAAAAATAGGTGTTGAACGTTCATAGAGGAGTTGTTTTGATTAAGGTCTGGTGACAGGGACCTTGTTAGACAACTGTTGTTTCTATATTTGAAGCGGCATTGTTACGAAATTTAACCATACTAATTTGCTCAGCAGGGTATTATACCGACATTGGTTTTCCCAGTTTTGATTAGTGAAAAAACACGAGTTGTGGCTGAAGTAGCTCACAAGGGAGCCTGTTAGGTTGATATTTTAATTGCCAAAAACCAACTATGCTGTATTAAAAGAGCGTCTTTCAGGAACCTGTCGAAATCTGCTAAAATGCTTGTCAGTGATAATTTTTAAAGGAGAAATCAGTTGTTTTTTGAAATAGTCGTCTTGTCTCATTACAGGTTTCTGGGCGCAATGTTTCATATTTTTTCCTTTCGATCATACTTACAACCGGCCGGGCTGAGCTGGGCTTTCTTCCAGAATATTCAAAGATCGGTCTGGATTTTCAGTATTTGTTTTCCTGTGTTTTCAAAAAATGTTTGGGTCAAAAAACCAATTTTCGGTCAAATGACAGACCGGCTAAAAACGGGGTGTCATTAAAAAGGACAAAACAATTTGAAAAGAATTTCTGAAATTTAATAATTTTTCAAATTTGGATTACCAAGGCCCTGATTTTCCTGGTATGCTCCAGGCATGCATCCATACTTTTCCTTATTTTTTTCATCACTTTTCATACGCGAAATTGAAAATTTGAGAATCCCATACCGTAAAACCTGTAATAGAAGGGCCCTCTAACTTTAAACTTTGACCCAATTTTTCTTGATTCCTGTCAAAGATATAAAAAAGTCACCAACTGATAAATTGTTCATCATAATATCAGAAGTGTTATGACAGGTGACACATTTTGATATCTTGCGTAGGAGTTGAGATAATTGAGCTAAAATTTGACAATGGGGCCCTTCTATTACAGGTTTTGGCGGTATGTTCAGAAAAAAGAGGTCATGGTAGTATCGGAGTTGCCATTTTTTCCCCTAGTATTACACGATGACTAATTTGGTGGGGATGTTTTCGAAGATCAAACAACCGCATTTCACCCGTCCTCCGTTGCTCATACACACACACACAAGACACACAATACAATAATAGGTAGAGACCACAAAGTTGATTGAAATCACGGAAAGAGAGCTAGGGTTTATAAAGAGCACACTCAAGAAAAAGTTCGTATTCTTGTCTTGGCAGCTGTCGAGCGTTTCTCCTTGGTCTATCGATATTTTACCTATTGTTTGCCAAAATTAAATCTAATGGCTACTGATAACTCATTGACTATCCTTGAAGATGGAAACGGACTTTTTGGAACCCATGTCACTCTGAAAGATGTGAATGATGCTATACGAGAACAAATGGACACGGATCTTGAACTGACACCAAAAAGCAAAATGACTGTCATAGGGGATGGAAATGTAAGTAGTTTTCTAGTAAGGAACTTAGGAATAAAATTGGGAATTGAATATTTTATAGGGGTTTTCCTCTTGTGTCATTCTCATTAGCTGCAAATGGAACAAACCTTCCGACACTCTCCCTCATAAGATTGTCCTCAAAGTTGTGTCATTCTCACATATCAAAGCGTTAATTAGTAAAGCAGAGAAGGAAGGAATATTCAAAAAATCAGAAAATGAGAAGAAAGACATGAATGCTAATTTTGAGATTTCTATTCAAAGGATTCACAACCAAGAAGTGGATTTTTATAATGTTTTGAAAAAAGGAGAACCGGAGAACCTTTTGATACTGAAGGTCTATTTTACCAGCAAATTCGATGAGAACAATAAGACCAAAGGATTCATTGGGATGGAATATATTGAAGGTTCGGAAACTCGGCATTCATATGAAAACTGTACTGTGAAAGAAATCCAACCCGTTCTAAAAGCGATAGCACATATTCAAGCTTTAACAGTTTCCACACCAGAAGAAGAAATCGAAAAAACTTTCAATGATAGCTCCTATACGGAGTCAATGAAGTCAATGATGGAAGGTGACAGAATGACTGGAATTTTTATGCACACGAAAAACCAGAACCCGGAAAGATTCGGAGAGTTGGTCGCCAGCGTTGAAAGGTTGGCACCAGGAATACTAGATTTTGAGAAGGCATGCAATCTCAACAAATATATTGGTTAGTTTTATACCGGTCGAACAGAGCCCAATTTTCCAGCAAAATCTTTCAGGTATTAACAAAAACGTTTTTGTTCATGGTGACCTTTGGTCTGCTAATATACTGTTCGCCCCGGGAAAGGATGCATCAATGTATGTCAGCAAAGTTTTAGACTATCAGGTGAGGGTAAATTGCATTTTCGAGACTGGCATTAAGGCGAAAAGGAAAACTTAATGTCATGCTTTTTAGCTGGCACATATGGGAAATCCGGCTGAAGATTTGGTGCGTTTCTTGTGCTCAACATTATCTGGATCAGAGCGTCGACAGAACTGGGAGCGACTTTTAGAGGATTTTTATGCATATTTCTTGGAGGCAATGCAAACGAGAGAAATTCCATACACACTGGAACAGGTAATGACTTCTTGGGATAACTATTCTGAAGCTAAAATTCAGAACTAAAATAGGTATTTTGATTTTCAGTTGAAACTGTCGTATCGTTCTTATTTTCCGATGGGCGGATTGGCTCTTCTACCTTTATTGGGTCCTGCTGTAGACGTCAAAATAAAATCGATGAGTGAGCAAACGGCTGAAAAGTACCAGAAAGTTTTGGCCGAAAAAATTGAATGCTTATTGGAGGATGTGGAAAAGTTCTACTTGGAGACTATTTGATTATTTTGACTTCTGGAATAAACTTGTCGATTCTATATAAACTTGTCGATTCTATATAAACTTGTCGACTCTATACAAAATTTTGATCCTTTAAAAATTCTGGTCCTTGAAAGCATGCTGATCTTATATTGACTCGAATTAAAGTCATAGTCCTTGAAGGGGACCATACTTTTCATAGATAATTTCGGAATATTTTTTTGCATTTTCTGGATGCACTTGGATCTCAAGCAACGGGTCAGAAAAGGCGCCCCAGCAAACTCGTTGGCCAGAAAACTTTAATAATTTTAAAGTGGACGCAGGTTTGATTTGCTTTTTCGCTCATCGTTTAAAACTTTGATCCTCAGCCAACGAGTTCAGCAGCGAATTTAGAATTTTTGAAAAAATTACTGTGGCGCGCTTTCTGACCCGCTTCCTGAGACCCAAGTGTGGATGGTATAAATTTGTCGAACATTGGGATCTACGAAATTCACTTTGAGGTTCACCCGTGCATCGTAGTACTTTGAATGCTCGTGATGCCAACGTAGGCGCGCCGAAAGAATTATTGAGACTAAAATAGTCCCCCGATAGCTGAACGAACAGTAGGTAGACTATTTATTGCAATACATATTTTTATTCACTACTGAGAACAGGAAGTTCGTTATAACGAACGTCAAAAATCTCAGGATGCTATAAGCATTCAGTTTTTCATTTATGTTTTTTTCCTCTCCTAGTTTGACTATCATGTCCGACGCTATCTGGTTAACTGTAACCCATAAAGCAGCAGTAACTGGTACGGTCCTGAGCTGTGTTATAAATTTTATACTGTAGTATTTCTGAGTACACTGCCTCTTCAGGCCCTTGGTCCTTATAAATACTTGATGGTAACATTTTCGTTCTTTAGTTTATTTTATACAATCGTCGAGACTGTTTTGGAACCAGTAAGGACTTGCATTTCTAGTTTTTCATTTCCATAGTTCTAAATTTTAGTTAATCCACATTTACGATGACACCTGTTTCATTATTCAACGAAAGTCGTACAATTACAGTCTGTAAGTTGTAGGAAGTGGAAATTTCAAAATGCTTTGTATAATGTAATTTTCAGCCACATACTGTGGTTGTATTGCTGTCAGTTTCACACTCTTTGCAGTTCATTTTATTTATCGTTACTGGGCAGTTTGTCAGCCAAAGAAGCTCAAGTTTTTCAAGGGTTCCAACTTCGGATTATGGTTACTTGGAGTTTTTTGTGTTGCTGTTAGCTGGGGCGCATTTTCCTTTTTCTGTTTCCCAGGTAGCCTCAGGGCCCAAAAAAGCTTTCAGTTAGTTCAAGGTGCGTAGCTCGTAATATTTATAAGTTATTTTTTCAGAGAAGTGGCCGAAAAATCATACAACTTGGATACGAGGATAACCGATTATGTAGCCTATACTTTTGTGAGCTCCTGAACCACAAAACTTGTGCCAAGATGTGTTTTTTCAGTGGACCTATGAAAATGGAATCCGAATAATTATAATTCGAAGTATTATCGGTGTTGCGCAGCATTTTTTAGTGATGGTCTCTTCGTTTAGCATTGTTTTTTACTGTGGATGGAATACAGTAGTTGGCATGAGAAAGCCTCGAGACGTGTCACAAACTACAAAAAGGATTCAGAATCAGCTATTCAAAGCGTTGGTACTTCAGGTCAGGCATAGCAATCTCTATGATTACCGGGATTTTTATAGACTGCTCTTCCAACGATTTTCATCTACATTCCCACTATTATTGTTTTTATAACCCCTCTTATCAACTTGGAAATCGGCTCCTGGGGAAGTTTTGCAATTGTCACGATACATTTATATCCAGGAACTGATCCATTAATCCTGTTAATTTTGATTTCTGATTTTAGAGCAGCTCTGATAAAAACCCCACAAAAAATTCTCAATGCTACCAACTCTGTGATTCAAAAATCTACTACTATTTTGTAACTCCCAGCATATAGAACTGTAGTTCATTTTGTAATGAATATATTTATGTTTATATGTACAAGGTGATTTGTTAGAAAGAAAAATATTTAGAAAGTTTACAAGCTAAAAGGCTTTACTTGAGCTCAGCTGGTATGACTTTGCTGCGGAAGATGGGTTGATCCGTCGTTGGGATGCCGAACAGAAGAAATTCCATCCTGAATGATAAATAAGTCCAGATATGAATTATACGATACATGTATAAGCGGAAGCGCAGACATATAGGACAACACTAGTTAGTGATATTGACAGAACTAAAGTTGTTCTTTCCTGAAAACGTTTTTTTCTAAAACTCTGTTTAAGATTGTGTGATGATGCTAGACATAAAAACACAGAACTTACTCAGGAGCGTATTTCGAAAGTCACGGATCAAAAACAGAAGAACGAGAGGATCGATTCCAGGATACAAGTGCACCGTAGCAGTTGTGATATTTCCATAGCATCCGATATTCAGACCAATGAACGGGGTTACAAAAAGCATGGTTGTCGGTATATACATCAAGCATGTTGGAATGATGGTCTAAAACGTTTCTTGAGGTACTGTACTGAAAATGTAACTCTAGTACCTGGAGCACGAGTGCCTTGAAAAGTTGGTCCTGAAGTTCGCGGGTTTTATCAGAAGTTACTCTTGTTGCTCGAATGGTTTTGTAGGTTTTCCATCCACAATGGAATACGGTTCCAAACGAAACTGTCATGATAACTCCATGTTGTAGTATTCCGATCACGTTCCGAGGGTTGATGTATTCAATACCGTTTTCTGTACGCCACTAAAACAGAGTTGGTGTCCCTAGATCGACTGGTTATCCTCAACTTACGTAACTGTATGGGACATTTCCTACCCAATCGGGGTCTAAACCATACGATGTCGTGATGACGTGGCTGAAAGAAGCTTGGTTATAACTCTTAAGCAAATGAAAACTTACAGCACCGCCGCTTTGGTCCTATCCGTCTCTGGATACAGTATGAAAGCGGCGAACCCCCAACTTGCTGCAACCAATGTTGCTCCAAGAATCCATGCAACAAAATATAGTCCTTTAAAATATTTGAGATAGTCTTGTCTGAAAATTGAATTTTTTATAGTGTAACAGTCACTGGAATACCTGCAAGCAGCATAATATCTGTAGATAAAATGAACAGCAAAAAGGGTGAAGCTCATTGCGTAGCAGCCACAGTAGGTTGCTGAAACTATCTACGGTTGTAGAAGAGTAAATACAACAACAATGATGTGTGAACTCACAAGAGATTGCTCTGGCCACCGTTTCCGAGTATTGAAACCGTTTTCTTTGGATTACAAATATTGTGTTGTCATAGATGTGGATCAGCTGAAAAGACATCTTTCTCTTAACATCTTGACTTTTCAAATGCTCACCGGTCGTAGGAATGTCTCAATGGAGGTGTAAAAAAGGCTGAAGATACAGAAAGAAATCATTAGATATTTGTAGGAACCAAGAGTTTTTGTAGGACGAACGGCTAACAAAAAAAGCAAAACAAAGTTGGCCATGGTAGAAATGGTGAACCCGATATGATCGGAGTAGGTTGTGATTTCGAGCCAGTGACTGTCAGACATCCTTTTTCTCCCAACCTGAAAAACTTTCAGTTTGTAGTAGAGCAACATACACATTGGAAATGCTCTAAAATACGGTGAGTAACAACGAATACAATTGCATTCTGAGAAAGAGAGGATGGGGAGAATATCTACGGTTAATATTCTCAGACAATAACAACATTCGACCATAACAAGGAACAGCTGAGAAAATGAAAAAGTCATGATATCCGGTATATCAGAAGACACATAGGAGGAGCTAACAGTGTGTAGGTGTGGTTTGGTTATGCTAAAGAATAATCATCTGGTATGAGAGGCGTTGGAAACTACAGTAACGATCAAGCTTCCTTATATATAAAACGCTCGGCACTTCTGTTAGTCCCGGTGTCAGGCTGTCATCTTTTCGGTTTTTAAATAAGAGTGTGGCTGCCACCAAAACTGAGACCGGGACTTTCCGCACCACACTGCGCCCGTACATAGCTGCGCCATGAGGACCACGCGGGAAGAGGGGGAGGGAGGAGTAGATATTCTATCCTTTGAGAATTAGGAATAGAAAAGTGAGGAGAGGAAAAAACCGAAAGAAAAAATGAACTGCGCCGAAGGCGCAACAGCCAGCAACTTTGTTTCGCAAAATGTTTGCCTTGATATCAGAAACATTCCATCAGTTGACAATGTTTTAATATCTGAAACAAGATAATTAGGTTCAAATGAACGATCTTTTAAAGGAGTTTCACAGATTTCAAAAGTAAAAATTCCAGTTGATTTGAAAAAAAGTTAAAAAAGAAGCCCCGTGACAAAAAAAATGCTTCGAAAAAAATTTAAAATTCTAGAAAAAAACGACTACGTGAATTGGTTTAGAAACCATTGACCTCTTGGAGAGTAATATAAAAGAATAGGGAAATGAAAGAAAGAATCAGTTCTCACCTTCTCTGGGCTCCAGAGAAAGTGACCTGGGTCCCAGGTCCTGGATCCGGGTGACCTGAGTCCGGGTGACCTGGGTCCGGGTGACCTGGGTCCGGGTGACCTGGAGCAGGGTGACCTGGATCCGGGTGACCTGGAGCAGGGTGACCTGGATCCGGGTGGCCTGGATCCGGGTGACCTGGATCCAGGTGGCCTGGATCTGGGTGACCTGAATCCGGGTGACCTGGATCCGGTGTCCTGGATCCGGGTGATTTGAATCCGGGTGACCTGGAGCAGGGTGACCCTGACCGGGTGACCTGAATCCGGGTGATTTGGAGCAGGGTGACCTGGATCCGGGTGACCTGGATCCGGGTGACCTGGATCCAGGTGGCCTGGATCTGGGTGACCTGAATCCGGGTGACCTGGATCCGGTGTCCTGGATCCGGGTGACCTCGAGCAGGGTGACCCTGACCGGGTGACCTGAATCCGGGTGATTTGGAGCAGGGTGACCTGGATCCGAGTGACCTGGGTCCGGGTGACCTGGAGCAGGGTGACCTGGATACGGGTGACCTGGATCCGGGTGACCTGGATCCAGGTGGCCTGGATCTGGGTGGCCTGAATCCGGGTGACCTGGATCCGGTGTCCTGGATCCGGGTGACCTGAATCCGGGTGACCTGAATCCGGGTGATTTGGAGCAGGGTGACCTGGATCCGAGTGACCTGTCCGGGTGGCCTGGGTCCGGGTGACC